TGTTAGACCAGTTTAAGTGTTTATGTAGTATGTTGGACCAGTTTAAGTGTTTATGTAGTTAATAAAACCTTACTTGTATCACACTTGACGTGGTTCATTGTTTGCTCATAACTGGAGTCACTTAATCATGCAGATTTATGCTACAAGCTCTTTGTAGAATTGTACAGTAAGAAAGCTATTTCCCTTAACCAGGGAATTAACGTTCTTAGAATTGACAGACAGTTGACCCTGAGAGGTCAGCTAAATATCTACAGCGGATCTAAAATATTCATAATTAATTATAACTAGTTATGATTAATTATTCATATTTCCCATGAGCTGATTCGCTACATATTAATCATCATCATTACTGTATAATAATAATTAGAAAATGTATTTGTATATCACTTTTCAAAAACACATTTTCAAATCACAAAAAAATACACAATGCAATCATGAAATAGACAGAGATGAAAGACAATGACAAAAATCTAAAGAATACATAAATGAATAAAAGCATAATTTAAAAGATAAGCTCTAATTAAGATCCATTTGATAAAACTATTTTTAAAAGAATATTATATTTTCCAGATTGGGCATGCTTGTCCCTGCTCTGCAGCTGCTAGTCCCTTTTCACTGCCATCACCCGTCACCCCTGCAGCAGCACCACAACAACAACTGGCAAGTCTTTTGTGACATGTTGGATCAGTGGTGTTATTGTCTTGCTTGTAATTTTATTATTTTGATGTAATTTAGACTTATATTGTACTATAATAATAATAATTATTATTGTGTAATAATATTAATCATCATCATTACTGTATAATAATAATTAGAAAATGTATTTGTATATCACTTTTCAAAAACACATTTTCAAATCACAAAAAAATACACAATGCAATCAATGCAGTCCCTTTTCACTGCCATCACCCGTCACCCCTGCAGCAGCACCACAACAACAACTGGCAAGTCTTTTGTGACATGTTGGATCAGTGGTGTTATTGTCTTGCTTGTAATTGTATTATTTTGATGTTTATTTCATTAGTATTATTTTTTATTATTACATTTAACAGGTTGCAAATGAGCAGACCACTGCACCCTCTGGCCCATTAGCTGTCCCCACCAGCCTAGCCTCTGGTCCTCCTTACATTTCCATCGTCTCGGCCTCTCTTGCCACTACTCCAACTACAGGTCCCTCTGGGCCACCTGCCATGACTCCTGCAGCACCACAGCAACAGCTGGTAGGTCTTTTGTGACATGTAAACAGTGTGAAAGATGTGCTATTTTTCTGCCTGTGGTATTTATTTTATTTTTATATATTAATATATTTGCCAGGCTGTGGATGAGTGCAATATCCCAGGGATGGACAGAGTGGACAGCCTGGCACAGTACTTGGTGGGACTGAGGAATGAAACTGGACAAACACTCAACTCCCAGCAGGCCAGTACCGTCATAGCTCTGTGGCAGAACCTTCTACCATATGACCAGCAGCGTGTGGCGTACTCTGCACGGCACCAGTCGCGTCTGACAACAGGATGCTTCAGGTGCTCTAAAAAGAAACCTGAATTTACCCCAGGTGTGGAGAGCATTACACGTTGCGTCCTAGGATCTACAGGATCCCCTGCCCAGTGGCCAGATTGCTGTCGTCTGGTAGAGTGCATTTTTGTAAAACTCTGTGACATCCATAAAAGTCCAAAAAAAAACAGGGTAAATATGCACTGACTACTAATTCTCAGAGACTACAGCAAGATCAGACAGCTGGTCCTGGGTAATGGTTCAGTCATGCAGAGCTCAACTCTGCAGTTGTTTGATGTTAATCAAACAACTCTTATTCAGTGGCACAACAAGTGACTGAAGAGGCAGGAATGTAATATTCTGCTGCAAGGGGTCAACTTGCCTGCCTCCATTCCTGTTGCTCCTGTACCTCTTCCACCAATACAGGTACGCCCCACTGCTGCACCACCACGGCCTGGACCTCAACATCACTACCACTTGCCTCAAAGTACAGCAGGACAAGCAGTGGACAAGAGGAAGACTGCAGCTCCGGGCCAACACACCCATTCTCTGCAGTCTGCCTGCCCAAGGTTGCCAGCTCAGAGGCAATTGTTCCCTCAGCAGACATCTCCACCTACCCCTGCCCCTTTGCCTACTGTTTCCAGCCCCAGCCCTGCCAGTGGCCCACTTGTGTATGTGTTTTTGGCCCCACAAGTCAATGCATACAAATGGATTGCTCCTGCTGGCCCCCTTTCCTCCCCACCAACTGCCCGGAGGCCTTACAATCGGAAAGTTGACAAAAATAAATGTAGTCAGTGCCAACAGCCCGGAACAAAGAAAGTGGCCACAGCCAGTATTATGGGTACATATACTGTCCCCAAAATGCTGGTATTCCACTTGACCAGTGGATGGAGGAGATGCAGAAGAAGAGAGCAGATAAGAAATAGATTGGTTTGTCTTTGTCTCATACTGTGTAGATGTGTAGTGGAAATACTTCAGTCATGTTCTATTAGTTCGTTGATGTAACTGTTCAATATTCATCCCATATGACAGGCATTTAAAAAAATCAACATAACAGAAATAACACACTGTATATTACTGTTTTTTGTGTGAGCCTTGCAAGGTGTGTTGATTTTGTTATTTGTATACTTTTTACCAGCTGACCAGAATCTTCTACTTTTATTACTTTTTGTATTTTATTTATTTATTTATTTTATATTTGTATTTTATATATAATTCTTCAATTTCTTTGTATCTGTGATATGCTTACTGTGTGAGAGAGCAAGAGAAAGAGACAATTAAGATGTATGTTTTGTAATAAATTTGTAATATATTTAAACAGCAAGGCCTTTATCTTTATTTATTTAACAGTCACTCAGAGAAAACAATTACAAACTTTCAATTCTAATTCCTTTCATTTTAAAATTATTAATTGAAGTATATAAAGTATTAATGAATTGGGTATTTTTTCTCAGGCAATGTAAAACACATACATACATACAAACAATACATATGAATACTTTTTATAAATTTTTGTCAAAACAAAACATACATGTGTAGGTGTCCGCTAGTGCAACTAATTGATAGAAATGTTTCTTGCATTGCTTTGTAAATTAAGTTAATTATTATCTATATCATTGTTACATAAGTATGTTCACTTATGTACACTAAGTACATATATTTGACTGTATGACATTCGTAATAAGCCATTGTCCTATTTGTATCAATTAATAAGTGATTAATTAAATGATTGGTAATATTTCAGTGAGAGTTTTTGGTTAGAGATGCCTGCTCCAGTCGGGGATCGAACCTTTGGATCCACAGCGCCCCATGCAATATTACAGCAAAGTGTTATCTATGGACATATTTCTCAAACTAATAATGTAATATAGGTGTCCGGTAGCTTCTGACGGGCAGCAGAGTCAATATTAACTCCCATTTCACTTCATTTTTTCTCAATTTTTCTCTTTTTCCTCCTTCCCCCTCCTTCCCCCTTCTTCTCCTTCTTCCCCCCCCTAAACAGACTATTGTTCCCCAGCTTTAGCGGAGTCGGTAGAGCATCAGACTTTTAATCTGAGGGTCCAGGGTTCAAGTCCCTGTTCGGGCGAAGGATTCTTTTGCAAAGATTTGAGTGTGGTAGCTGCGTTTCATGAGTTAATGTGAAGAGATAACTAATGAATTCAAGCAACACGCAACACTCAGAGAAGTACATTTTACATTTGTATATCATTAGTTCAACAAACTAAATGGAAATGAAATAATATATATATATTTAATTTATCAAGTGTATGTACATATACAGTATATATGTATGTGTGTGTGGTTGTACGCAGACTAAAGGGGGCTCAAAGATTTACTCCGTTACCTGGAATACTTTTGGGCAATGTACGCTCGCTTCGACATAAATTGGATGAATTACAAGCCAATGCGAGTTTCATGCACGAATACAGAAACACGCATATATCCTCCTGAGAACCAGAAATAAAAAACTTTGTGAATTTAGTATTTTTTCATGTCACTACGTTGTTTAGAGCATAAGAAAAAAATGGTAAAATAACATTTTTGAAAAATTATATTTTATTCATAAGTTATGATATGTCCTCTGTAGAGGACACCAGGACTCAGTTTTTCTAAAAATAAAATGACAAGAGTAGACATGAAAAGGAAAAAACAATGGGATTTTTTTTTTAATCGCCAATCAATTTTTAGGTTTCAGGATTTTTTTATACCTAACTTTGTTTAAGGATGGTTCTCAACTATGTTATAAAATATATAACAAAATGATTTGATATACCATTTTGCTTTATGCAATATGTGTGTAAAAATTCCATAAACTGGTTTTCCCATTAAGCACAATGTTATCTATACACTGTATCTAATTTGCATATTAAAGTGCTGTTGGGACAGCATGTTGAAAAAAGAAGTGTAATAATGGGAGTAGTCATTGGCCAGATTTTCATAATAATATCTAATATTTCATAAGAATATTGATACATAATTTGTTTTCCTATTCAATTCTTTTGTCTCCCAAAATGTGTAATAAACATGCTTTCAGTCCTGGTGTCCTCTACAGTGGACATGTATGAAATTATGTCCTGTTTCATAACAGAAGGTCATATTTTGATTTGAAACCCCATAACATTTTCCTGAGATGTTGATTTATGACAAACAATTAGAAAATTAGTCAGATTTAAATTATAATTACAAAATATTATCATATTTCCATAAGGATGTACAATTGTATCACTAAATTAATGTCAGCCATTTTTAAAAACCAAGGAGAGGGAGTGTTCTCGGGGAAACATCCAATCATTTGGTATCTCTGAAAAGCCCTGAATGTGCTCCGTACAGGACATCCAGACTTACAACTGTGACGTGTGAGGTCTCAGAGAAATTCACTCAAATATAATGTCCACTACAGAGGCAAAAACTCCATAGCTGGGTCTCAGGAGGATATGATGAACATTCGTTCCATTTGTTGGACAGATGACATGCCAAAGAGCAGAACATGTGTTGCGACTGACTCTGAGGGAGCCCTATGCCCTGCTTGGAGGAGGCTGCACAGAGACGCTGCTGGTCACCTACATCAATCACATGGTATTCTATTCCACTGAGTTAAACATCCCATTCAATTGTATTTCTACAGTATTGATTATACTGTAAAGTTCCACTTGTCAGAATTTTATGAAAAGATTCATGCATTATGCATTCCTTTATTATTTAGGTATTAACTGTGAAATTTATTTTCAAGGCTTGCCAAGTGCCACATTTCTACCCGACTAGACTTTTAAACCTTTTTTTTTTTTGATACCTCACAGCTTTTGTTGGATCATCCCCAATTTTGTGATAAATCATTTTGATCAAAAAAGTGTGCTGTGCACATCCAAAATCCAAAAACAACAATACACAACAGATGTCTGCACACTGAAATTAAAGCTCTAGAAATCTTTATTACAACCAAGCGTGAACATTTTATCCAGTTAGGCCTTCATAAACTGGTCAAACGTTGCTCTTGGTTGGAATAAAAAAAATATGAGTGTGCAGACATGTTACTGTTTTATTATTATTAATTTTAAATCATTTTGAGGCCATATTAGTCAAAGGTTATTTAAAACATTTATATGGTTTAATCTTAATCGCAATAATTGGCTCAGATTATATTCAGACCAGCCCTCACAAAATTTAACTTATTTCAATGAATGTTGTTTAACATTTATTAATTAGTGGCAAATCTGCTCAAACCTATTTAAAATTACCATTAGGGGAGCTGTGACCAAACAAATCATCTCAACATTAAAATGCACATGCCATTGGTGTACCTGTAATTTCTGCTATATTAAACATTTTTGTCACTTACTTCACAGAATCAGTCCAAAGGCGCCGCAACAGCTGCAGCTCTGTGCGTCTCTCAGTCTGAATTCCTCATGGCAGTTGAGGCATTCTGCAACTCTCTGCAATCTGTGGCTCTTTCCTTAGAGCATGATGGACAGGACTGTCTCATTGACCTGACATATGCTCATCGCTGGGTCCCAGATATATACTCCAAAACCTGTGGCTGTGGCCTGGTGGAGGACAGATCCAACCTGGAGAAGACCCTTTTAAATACAGCTTACCACACTTTCTCTCCTGTTTCCCTGGAAAACACTGACAATCAGCCCGAAATATTAGATTCATTTTCTGCCAAGCTCAATGCTTTGAATGTGGCGGTCGAGATGGCTAATTTTGTTCTTGATGTAAAATATATAATTAAGGATATCAACTGAATTTTGATGAATGAAGAGCTGTGCATTGAATAAAGCTTGTAGGTTTGATGTATTTTATAATCAAATGTTGTTCTAAGACTTTTCTCAAATGTGGCAACATACATGTTAAATATTACTTACATTAAACTTCCAAAACCAAAATTTTTGCAAGCAGAAAAATCTGTCGTCATAAGGACAGGTTTTAAATTAAGCAAAATAAAGTTTAAGGGCTAGTAAAAATATAAATATTTTATTTTTTTGGTAGGTACATTTTCTCAGTTCACCTGAATTTGACATGTATGACAAAAAGTTTAATTTTGGACCCTGCCTGAGTCATCTTCATTGTGCCATGTGCCTTTGAGAAAGGAACACATCTCCAGGTAGCTCCGAGGCTAATGTTTCTGTAATCAGTGCATTGTAAGGATAAAAACATCTGCTAAATTACCACATAGAAGTATCTACTCTGAAGGAAATTATCTATTGTAAGAAAGAACAACGGTGAGTTCTCCACATTAGGTGTAGTCCTTAATCCTTCCAGTATGTTAACATTCCTGCTGTTAATTTGGCTATTAAAGTATATCTAAGCTCGATCAGTCAAATGTTCGCTTCACTTCAAATGCACTCGCTATCAGTTCACTCAGTAATTTTACGTTCATTACAAATCAAACGTGTCTCGGGACTCAGGCTCGTTGACCTCTTCTGACGGATTCAGTTTCGTGAGTGAATCACTCAGACAGGTTTTATGAAACGTTTCCGCTGATTCAAATCAAAAAACAACCTGTTCACAAATCGGAAATCAACGGTTTTTATAGGAATTAGACACAAATTAGTCCACGATGGAGGCCTAAGGAGTGAGGTAAATGTCTTTGCACGCTGTGAATTCCTCCAAACGTTTTCGTCTTTTATGATGCCATTGACGGCAATGGTACAGCTTTTGATAGTGCACTTTCTGATGGCACCGGCTTTGTTTTTCACAAACTTTGCTTCTCCAGAAAGTCTACCGACACACTTTTTTGCCTTATGAACAGGGTTTGAATTGAACACCCGCCAAATGCGGGTAAAAATCAGCTGTGGCGAGTAACGCTGTCAAATCACTAGCAAATTTGGCGGGTTACTTTTCATAAATTATGTTCACTCATTAATTTCTTGAGGAAGTTCATTCAGGGCAAATCTGCGCAGGTTTAGCGCAAATACAGAACTCGTGAGACATCATGACATTATTATATTGCAAAAGCTACACAAAACACACCTAGGAGGCGTGCATACGCGACGTGATGAACCGACAAACACACAGGCTTTAGTGCGCGTGCGCTTTTATAGTACGCTCTTTCGCTGCATGATTCAGTCTATTAATATGCATTAAGAATGATCACATAATTCAAGATAAGGAGGCAGAAAATGTATATATTTATATCCGTTCATATAGTTAATCAAAATCACACGAAGAGTGCCGTTTTTTCTTAAAAAATCAGCATGGTTACAAATGTGATATTTATTTTATACAACAGTTCAATAAATAATAAGTTAATATCAAGAGACTTACGTTTTAGACAGCATATTGGCTGTTTTTGCGCTATTTCTGTGCTATTTCGCCAACAAAAAAACATTCCAAACACAGCCACAGTACTGTTTTGTATGGAAGCCTGTTTCCGCCACTAAATAAAAAAATATAATTCTGTAAGTCATAATAATGAGAAACTTTCTCAAAATTATGACTTAGTATCTCATTATAATGAGAAACTTTCTCGTAATAATGACTTAGTTTCTAGAAATAATGACTTATTTTCTCATAATAATGACTTAGTTTCTCGTAATAATGAGAAACTTTCTCGAAATAATGACTTAGTATCTCGTAATAATGAGAAACTTTCTCATAATAATGACTTAACCTAATCCAAAA